AAAAAAAAAAAAAGTTCAAAAATTTATCATCAATATATGTATTTGTTTGACAAAATGTTCAATGCTTTTTTGTTTTGTTTTGTTTTGTTTTAATGCTTTTTCCTCTTCTTACTTATATAAAAATTAATTTGACTGGACAGCTGAATTTGAGAAGGAAAAAAAAAGAAATCACGGCTGTAAATAGGCAAAACTCTTTATGAAAACGTTAGTAAGAACAAATGTGAATTTGAAATATGATAACTAAATTTTTGCTTTTCTGCCATAGTTGTCTACTTACTGTTTTGCTGTTATTGTTGCTCTTCCTTCGCCTTATTTGACTAAAACCTCGAAATTTTGTGCGAAAGGAAAGTTTTGATAAACTTAACCATCAGCCAACTAAATGATGATTTCTGACACACCTAAAAAATCACGAATTTAGGAAATCTTATTAATTGCTACATCATTTTGTTTTATGAAATGAGGTGAAAAACCAAAAGAATTTTTGTGCAAGAAGGTGTAGAAACCCCCAAGTTTAAAGTAAAATCAACGACTTATTTTGGATAACCTTTTTACAGTAGTTTTCTGCCTTCAAAAACTTTCTTCTATGTTGAATAAGTTATGTTTAAAAAATAACAAAAATTGTTTTTTCTCTGTACTAAATCAAAAGTTTATAGGTACTGTTCGAATGGGTATACTTGATCGTGAACGTCTTAGTTCCATTGATTCAGTATCCAGTCATCGTCCAGTAACACATACTGCAGATTTTGTTTTTGACCTATATCGTGATGCCGAAACTGATACTCTATCAATTGCAGTTTTAAGAAAGGTGTCTGTAGTGAAATTACTAAGTAGTCATTTGCAGTTATTGTTTACTGAAGAAAATAAAAAATACAAGCTGTACTAAAAACCATAAATTCTTTGATACCAATATGGTTATCATTTTAGGCACTTTATGAATATGGAATCTGTCGAGACGATCCACGGTTAAGTGAGTTTTTTCGAAAGGTTCAGAAACTTGAACGACGTGATTCTACCAGCGAACCAACAACTCGTGAAACGCTGAACGCTAACCTTGATCGAGAAACTTTCAAAAAGTATTTCGCTTCAAATTGTTTTTTAAGACTTTTCAGTAGTTCACAATGCTTACTGTTGAAGGTGTGTCGATGCAGACATTGGAATCATTGAAAACGCATTAAAAAGAAAGTTAGTTGTTCCAGACTGGACAAAATTCACTTCAGTTTTATCGCTAATTTTCCAGAGTCTTCAGGATTGTAGCGACGGAGCGGTGGGGAATATTCTGTGTGCAATTTAAAATTTTTTGCTTAAAAATTAAATTTTGCTAAACTAGTTGTTTCTTTTTAGGTAGCTGACTATATTCCACAGTTGGCTCGATCAAATCCGAACAGTTGGGGTTTAGCGATTTGTACAATTGATGGCCAAAGAAGGCAGTGGGGTGATGCTAAATTACCATTCTGTCTACAAAGTGTTTCCAAACCGTTTACCTACGCTATTGCACTGGAAGAGTTGGGTGCTGAAGAGGTTACTGAAAATTGCTAATATTTCTACCAATTAAGATCCTGAAAATTATAGCTGCTAAGAATTTATGAGAGGTATAAGAAATAATAGCAGCTTATTGGTTCTGTAATTAAAAAAGCTACTTTTTTGATTTTCAGGTTCACAAATACGTTGGTCAAGAACCGTCTGGGCGATTATTCAATGAAATTTGCCTAGATCATAACAGTCAGCCTTTTTTTTTTTACACTTGATTACCGGCTTTTTCGTTTTACAATATATGCAACGCTACTTTTGGCTTCTAGGGAATATTTTTTGGGAAAGAATCGTAACATAAAAACAACAAGATTTACGATAGGCGGAAAGATGAGGAAAAAAAACAAACAGAATATAAATTGACGGTTTGTTGAAAAGAAACACAATTGGCATGTATCGATTTCAATTTAAATCTCTGTTTAAAAGAAATGATAGAATCACTTTTCATTTTGTATGCAAACAACAATCCTCATATATTCCTTTAAGAAATTTTTCTCGCATTTTCAGAAAAACCACATAATCCGATGATAAATGCTGGGGCTATCCTTGTTGCATCGCTACTGAAGAGGAATTTATCACTGTCTGAACGATTTGACTTCGTATTAAGGCAGTTTAAACAATTTGCTTCTGGTGGATATGTTGGTTTCAATAATGCTGTCTTCCTTTCTGAGCGGGAAACAGCCGATAGAAACTATGCATTGTCGTATTACATGAGAGAGCATAAATGTTTTCCAGAAAATACCAGTATACAAGTCAGTCAGTCGGCATAAGTTGAATCTTTCTTTGAAAAAGTACAATAAGGCATTATTAAGTGTTAAAAAAATTTAGCAGTTAAGCTTTTGTTGAAAACACTAAACAGTATTGCTAATTAAGGATACCCTCGATTTGTATTTTCAACTATGTTCCATTGAAACGAATGCGGAAACTTTAGCTATTATGGCAGCTACGTTGGCTAACGGAGGTGTATCACCACTTACCGGACAACAAGTGGTATCCAACTGTGCCGTTCGAGACACTTTGTCATTGATGTATTCCTGTGGCATGTACGATTATTCTGGTCAATTTGCCTTTAGTGTGAGTACAGTTTTAAGAAAAACTGTTTAGTTTATCGTAACACTTTATAAATTTAGTAGATAGTGAATTTGAGTGCTTCCAGCTGAAAACCTTATTAAATTCACTCAAGTTGGTTAACATTGTCATTATTTACAGCGTAGGAGCTGTAATCATCAAGAAAGCTTTCAGATTAGCAGTAGCGATAAGCGTCTTATACAGTAAAGGAATGGTTTCAACAGTGAAACTGACCTTTTGACCGAGCTTTTTTTTGCCCAAAATCCGAGGACTTAAATCCGTTGAGGAAATAGTATGATTTTACAATAGACATGATAAATACCGACAAAACTGCTAAATTTCAGGTTGGTTTACCGGCGAAAAGTGGTGTTTCAGGTGACATGATTATTGTCGTTCCAAATATATTAGGTATTTGCCTGTATTCCCCCCCACTTGACTCGCTTGGCAACACTGTTCGTGGCGTGAAATTTGCTGAACAACTTGTTCAAAATTTCAATTTCCACAATTATGATAGTCTTGTTAGTTAGTTAACACTTATCTGTTTGTTTTCTTGTTCAAAGATCAATACATCTCAAGAAAGGAAGATGAAAGTGGATTATTCAAATAGATCATTCAAATTTTTTCTTTAAATTGTTGACCTTATATGCTAATAAAAAAAATTAACCTAAACAGGTTTATTTTTATCTATAGTGCTAGCAAAATTGTAAAATAAAATTTGTAGGTACATACAGAAACGCATAAAATTGATCCTAGAAGACACGCCAACGAGAATAAGCACGAATATGTCTCAAATATGATGTATGCTGCTAAAGCTGGTGATATTTCCGCTATACAACGGTAATATTCTAGTTTCATAGACCTTTGATTGAAGATTTTTGATTTTCCATCTCTATTCTGCTTTTTGACAACTCATCTTCAACTTAAAACAGAACGCTATTTTTATTTAACGATTTGCAGATATCTTTTGCTTGGTGCCAATATTCATGAAAGAGATTACGACAACAGAACCGTACTTCACATTGCTGCAGCTGAAGGTAACGAACGACTTCTGCAGTTCTTGCTCCACCGATGGAAAGAAAGCCCTGGTCAGTCATCTTTAGCATTGCTACGGATTACAACATTATCACACTCAGTCACTCCTATATTAAAGAACAATTTAATATAACTTCGTGCCGAAGACACCGCTAACTCAGTACATACTTCATAAACTTATAAAATAAAACAGTGGATAAACAACTTCATCCTACTCCTTCCTCAGTAAAATTTCAACCCAATGACTCCACTACAGGAATAAACAAACAACTTTGAAAATGTGATATTTATCTTTTTTTACAGAACCAGAAGACCGTTACGGGAGGAAGCCCATTGATGATGCCAAAATATTCAAACGACACAAATGTGTAGAGATACTCGAGAGGGCAAACGAACACTTCTTAAAGGGAACAACAGACAGTGACAATGATCAACCATTCAATGAATGATAACTGATCTCATTTTTAGTTTCTGATATACGATTTAAGCAAACTAGCACCTAAC